GGTAACACTTTAAAAAGAGTCCATTTGTAACATTAAGAGATTAATGAAAGCTGTGTAATGAAAGTATTGTTCCTTGTTAGAGTGTTAATTTCAACATTTTTATTATGATTATTACTACTACTACTACTACTAGTATGGTTCAGTACTGTTTTTTTAATAAAGCATTATTTTAGTTTTTGTTCAGTATCCATTTTAAAAACTATCGGTTAATTAATCGGTATCGGCCAGTGTGGTCCAACCTAGTTATCGGTATCGGCAAAATCCACTATCGGTCGACCTCTTATTATTAGTCATCTGATGTTATTCCAATATGTGATTTATATAGGGCTGCACGATTTGGGGAAAAAGTCTAATTGTAATATATATTTTTTTCTGATACAAATTGCAATTGCGTTTTAAAATACTATTTAAAAATCTGCAGGTTTGCTGTGTCTGTTTGTAGGGCTGCATAATTTGACCAGAAATCATGGCTATATATTTCAATATGGCTATAAAATAATGATATAAGTTGTAGTAGTGGAAATTTCAGGAAACGAATAAGGAATATTTCTATTGTAATATTTCAAAATAAATAGTTGTAAATAATAATATTTTATCTTACAATACAGCTAAAAATTACAATACTTAATTTCTTAGACACTAAAAACACTGGATCATCTTATAAAGGAACACAGTGGCATGTTTCACTCTGAAACACAAAGCAGATACATTTAATAAATTCAATTGCAGAGATTTGATAATTGCACTAAGCCATATCACGATACCTGTATGCTGTTATTTTTTTTCCTTGGTACAAAAATACAATTTTCCAAGAATCTTCATGCAGCTCACTAGTTCATAGTGACCATAGCTGTTAAGCCTCAAAATTAAAAAAAAATGAAATAAAAAAATACCCTGAACCCTTGGTGATGGCAGTTTCAGAGTGGAGCATGTTATTACATTGTGCTAATAATTAAAAAAAAAAAGTTTTTGTGTAAGTATACATTTTTGATTTCATGTTGACTTGAAATGCATGAGTGTGAAGTTGTAGTAGTGGAAATTTCAGGAAACAAATAAGGACTATTTCTATTGTAATATTTCAAAATAAATAGTTGTAAATAATAATATTTTATCTTGCAATACAGCTAAAAATTACAATACTTAATTTCTTAGACACTAAAAACACTGGATCATCTTATAAAGGAACACAGTGGCATGTTTCACTCTGAAACACAAAGCAGATACATTTAATAAATTCAATTGCAGAGATTTGATAATTGCACTAAGCCATATCACGATACCTGTATGCTGTTATTTTTTTTCCTTGGTACAAAAATACAATTTTCCAAGAATCTTCATGCAGCTCACTAGTTCATAGTGACCATAGCTGTTAAGCCTCAAAATTAAAAAAAAATGAAATAAAAAAATACCCTGAACCCTTGGTGATGGCAGTTTCAGAGTGGAGCATGTTATTACATTGTGCTAATAATTAAAAAAAAAAAGTTTTTGTGTAAGTATACATTTTTGATTTCATGTTGACTTGAAATGCATGAGTGTGTACAGCTCTAGTGAGTAAGTGTGTATGGATTTGCAGCTGGCTGCCTTCCCGTCCACTGCTGATGCGATTTATCTGCAGCACTATGAGGTGTGTGTGTGTGTGTGTGTGTGTGTGTGTGTGTGTGTGTGTGTGTGTTAGAGACTCCCATCGATGAACAATTCTTAGTGTACGAACATCACTGTGGCCCTCTTGTGACTCAGCAACATGAGTCAGTTGTGCTCTCAGACAGCTCATGCCCCCTGTGATGTAATCAACCCAGCTGTCGACACACTCTATACGATAGATCGGATGTCTGCATTCAGCAAGGGGGGTTTTGAAAGCTTAATCTTCCTAAATTTAGCCCACAGGTCGGTGTGTACGTTTTTCGTTATGGTGGTTAGATAATCATGGGTGTTCCTGGCCTTTCTAGATAACTAAACTTCAACACCCACCCATCCAGTCTGTGTCATAGATGTTTGCTATTACTTTTCCCCTGAAGTTTCCCTAAAACACGTTAGGTCAAAGCTATAGGCTGTAAGAATTAAATGTAATACCAATATTTTATAATACTGGTTATCCTGTAAAACCATTGTTGAACTATCGTTCAAAAGTTTGGGGTCTGTAATATTTTATAAAATGTATCTTATGCTCACCAAGGCTGCATTTATTTGATTAAAATAGTTAAAGAAAACAGTAATATTGTAAAAATTACCTCCATTTAAAATTACTTAAAAAAACAAAAATACAATTAATATATTTTAAAATATAATTTATTCCTTTGATGCAAAACTGGATTTTCAGCAGCTATTACTCCAGTCTTCAGTGTAACATGAACCATGATCAATAATGAATAGAAAGTTCAAAAGAGCAGAATTTATTTGAAACTGAAATTATTTGTAACATTATAAATGTCTTTAATATCACTTTTGATCAATATAATGCATTCTTGCTGAATAAAAGTATTATTATAGTATTATTTTCTTTAAAAATAAATTTTACATTTCTTTATGATTAGACTGTTTATATATTTAAACTGCTTGTCCTATACAGGATCATAAGGAACCTGTTCCAGGCTGTGCGCAGAAATGGATAACCCTTTATTTAATTTTATTTAATTTTATTATTTATTTTTTTAATTTTATATTTATTTTTTATTTATATATTTTTTTATTTTATTGTTATTATTATTATTTTTTAGGTTTATTTTGTAGCTATGGCCATATTAGAC